TGGTTTTTGCATTTACTGAAGAGCTTAAGGCAGATGGCAAAGCAGAACATAAGCAGGTCTTTACACATTTTTTTTTTTTAATTTCCAGAGCACCTTAGGACTGTATACTTTGAACAGAAACAGCTCTCATGGTCACCTTCTGCTCCACACCCTACTGGTCCCTTCCACTCCAATTTGCCCAGAAAGATTGCGGGAAAGCTTCATGGACCAATAAGAAGACAAGTGAAGCACAAATAGTAGGGTTCTGCCAGCTACCTCTCTACCTATGATTTCTGAACAGATTTCTATTGGCTCACAAATCACAGTGGAGACTGCAAAGAATTTCAGAAGTGGCCAGGACATGTGAGCATAATACACATAATAACACAACACCCACACTTCCAGCAAGTCTATCAATCTACACCATCTACAAGTTGTAAATCCTTATAGACATATTTCTATTCTGGAATGAAATAATTTCTACTGCAACAAAATATGAATTAGATCAAGTAAAAATCAAACAAAAATGTGATGTGCTATCCCTTTAGAATCTCATTAAATCATGTAAATCCTGCATATAAATCAATCAATTCGTAAAAGTGACAAATAAAACCTCATTAAATAATATACAAAATACCTATGTATCAATCATTGCATATACTGGTGAAATAAATAAATATAACATATGATAAAATTGTGAAAAGCAGAAAAGTTAATTAGTGCAAGAATCCACTTCCAGAAATTCAACAAAAACCATGACAGCAGCTAGTATTGTGGTTCTCCACCACCACAAACAGCATGCCTCCTACCAGATCACTCTTAACTATAGTGTAGTGTCCGATCAATGCAGAGGTAGTACAGGGCTCTGTTAATCTTTTGCTTAAATTTTTGGTGATGTGCAGAAATCTCAGACTTCCTGAGTTACAAACAGAGGAAACAATGGATATCCTTGGCAGAAAGAAACTGACAGCTTACTACAATTACTTTTACAATTACAACTACTAAAGGCAATAGGATAATCACGTCTGAGACAAGGGGTGGGCAGAGGGGGTAGCTGCCCTAGGCACAACGGTTTGCTGTAGGGATGGGGGTGCCTTCCTTCTGTTAAAAGGCTGACTGTAGAAGCGACAGCAGCAGTGATTTTGATAAGCAAGTGACTGTTGGGAGTAGGATCCCCTAAGCTTGCACATCATGACCGGGGGGGACGCAGTTTGGCTACTTTGTCCTGGGAGATGAATGACCTTGTCCCGGCACTGAGGATAATAACAAGGTCCCTGAGCCATATTTCTATTTGTCCTAAGTTCCTTCTCCCATTACTCAGGGTAAGAGACCAGTGTTAAAGATTTTATGTTCACTCTACAGTGCTGTAAAAATGGCAATCTTACATAAAATAAGCACCTGCTAATCAGCTATTTTAAATTGAAAATGTATCCAATAAAACCAGTTGAAATGAAAGCACTGTTACACTGTACAGATTTCACTTTGAAGAAGAAATTCAGAAAGCTTGTCAGTGTTAATAAATGAAAATTACTCATGCTTTGCATTTTCATGATCGCTGAGTGCTGGAATAGAGAGCTGTTGGGTTGAAGTAATTGGCAGCTTCCTACATGATATCAGGATGCTGTAGCAGCCCTACGTGTAGTGTCCGGTCAATGCAAAGATAGTACAGGGCAGAGGTGCAGTTCTGCACTATCAGGAAGTATACAGCTCTATCAACTGGTTAAGGTTATGCATTAGCAAAATTATAAAGCATTACATGGCAATTGGCACTCATTGGCTGCTATCCTCTATATTTTCAGGTATGACACAATGAAGTCTAGAAAATCCATAATATTTCAATTCAGACTGTGGAATGCATTAGCAAACCAGCCTAAGAAACCCAATCAAATGCAATGGGTTTCAGAAGCTGAGGTGTGTTGATGTGTAGGACGCTGGCCAGCTGCTGACAAGTGGTAACCTTGGCAGTGCTGCTAAAGCAGCTGATCTCTGAGTAATGGCATACAGGGACCATGAACAGGGTCTTACATTTTATGCTGGAAAGTAGAAAATTCTTTAAAGTGGAACTAAGCTTATTGTGGGGTTGGGAGTTCTTGCAATAACTGCAATTTAGTTCACTGGCTGACTATTTTTTGTAGTTATACTATATGCCTATTGCATTTTTCATTGCATATATTATCTGATATGAAAAGGGTTTCCTTCTGCAGTAGTTTACTCCAATCTACTGTAGAAATGTATAGTTGTTTTTCTTTTACATGTGTGTTTGCTATTAGTGCAGCCTCTGTTTAGCCCTTCTGCCATGCCTTGGTTGACATCTTCCAATAGTGTAGTGAACTAGAACTGATTTATAGTAACATGACATAGTACACAGCTGTTAGTATCAAAAAGCAGGTCTATATAGTGATCATTGTCTGTGGCTCTTTAACTCCTAAATACTTTCTGTAATACAGTATTATTTGCTCATGAATCCATTTACAGTATTTCCAGTTTCTGATTGCTGCCAAGGAGTGATTAACATTTCTTTTTTTATGTCCAATATGTTGAAATATACCCAATATTAGTATTCACAGTAATTTTACTGTTGTGATATGTCTTTTTCTTATATTTAATACCTGTATATAATGATATATGATGTTACCTATGTTTTAACATATCTTAAAGTGTTGCTAAACCCACAACAGTAAAATCAGTTCTGTATATGCAGTAAAGCATGCTTGGTATACTCATTGTGGAAGGAGTTAATCCTCTGCATTGTTTAAAAAGCTGTTTGATCCTGACTTCTCTGATCCTCCTCTTCTTCCAGAGTGTTCCCCTCTTATCTCTTGATAAGACATATTGTGTGGAGTTATGCTACACATGCACAGTTTGGTGTGTATTACTAGAGAGGCTTTTTTTTTCCTTGAGAGAGTGAATGTGATCAGCACAGAACCAATCAGTACTGTTCAGACAGAGGGATTCTGCATCCTCCGACCTAGAGCAAAATGAAAACTCCTCCTACAGGCTTTAACATGTGTTCTGCTGAACACTGATAGAAGTGACAAGATTGCTCTAACTGTTGATGAGAAAAGCAGTTTATATTTACTAAAATAATTGCACTTAAATATTGTGTGTACTGTGGGAGACCAGATATAGGGAATGTAGGGTCATGGGTTTAGTAACACTTTAAGCATCAATTTTTGATGCAATATATTATTGCATCAGACGTTTGCGCAGTGTTTTATTGTGTTTCTATCTATTTATATATTTAGATGTGGCAGGTATGAAGGTTATCTCTGGTTAATAATACCCCCAATGCCAAATACACAGTGTTGATTTTCCTGACATTTGATGTGCATACCTATGACTATACAATACAAGAAGCATCTTACTCTGTCTGTTTTGCCAAATACACATAACTCTGGGAAGAGGGAAACATTAAAGTGTATCCAAAGGTGAATTTTTCTTTTTGTTTTAGATAAAGTGGTGAGCATTTTAATATTGCTGTTTGTGTCCCTGCTAGGGAAATTCAGCCCCTCTGTTCTGTATCTGCTGGTTATTACTGTCACTTGGATTGAAAATAAGGCAAAATCTGAAAGTGAGTTGTCACCAAAATAGAAATAGAGAGAAATTATTTTGAGTACACTCACTCATTGACTACTCTCTAAAAGGTCATTCCTTTGCTTTGGGGAGACTTCTTCTCTTTCTCTACTTCTTGTTGTGTAAGTACCTCAATGGGACACAAATCGTAAAAATTTGTTTTTAACCCTTACTCATAAAAAAAGACTTTTGACTTTAGGCATATTATTAAAAAATGAGATCCCAGTATTAAACAAAGCCTGAGGTCCTGGTCATATTTTGATATTGCACATACTGTACATGTTCTGAATAGGTAAGGATGAGCTGAACATGCCCAAGTTCGTTTCGACAAAGGTTTGGCAAACATTGCTGGCTTTTCTGAGCTAATAGGCAAGGGATTGCCAAACAAATGACATGGGGGACTGGACAGTGGCCTGGGGGACATGCAGCAATAATAAAACACTTTTGGAGGCTTAAAGGCAACATTGAAAAAACAAAAATGATTCAAATTACATGCTTATGAGATGCCTTATTACAATTCTCAGGGACAGCATCAATGATGCCGTATTTTAGTATCAAATAAATTGCATGTGTAATTATTCAGATTACTTTTACATTATTCATTGGATTAAAAATAGCAACAGCAACCCGATATGGCTAATTTAAAGAACAGGTATTTTGTTTTTTTCAAAGGCAAAGATTGTTTAGTGTAGTAGTGAAAGTAGCATGTACATTATAGCTAAAAGCTTGAAGTAGCATGTACATTATAGCTAAAATCTATTTCAAAGTATATACTTTTTTTTAAAAAAAGCTTACATTATTAACATAGAGATTGTCAGTGTCAAAACTTGCAACATAGCTTAAAAAAATTGCATCATTGTGTGGTAAATTGAGATAAAAATATGACCAACTTGCACCACACATTTGAAGCCTTTATTAGATAGGTCACAATTTCTGAGGGAGAGAGTAAGCACATTGCACCTCAAAGAAACAAATTATTGGAAATAACTGGAAATGGGAAAAGGTTAGATATTTGCACCACAGATATCAAGCCTGTATGAGCAGGCTGTAATTTCTGAGCACTTGAGTGTGCGTATTGCAACTGGAGCAAAAAAGAGGTTTGTTTTGTGTACTTTTGAAAATATAAACATTGTCAAACCTTTCTTGGAATGCATTAACAAGCAAAAAATTTGCCTCCTCTTTCACAGACCGAATAAAGAACAATTTGACAGTTTTGCTACTAAGCTTTTACTCCTTTTAATATAAGCTGCATTTTTTAAGTGAAGTAGATTGCAACTAGAAATAGGAAACAATTTTTTTTCCAAGAATTAATCTTGGCTATGCATGTTAACAGAGTAGCACCACAGCCTTTATAGCGGTATTAAACCCAAAAGCAAACAGCTGACAGCTCGTGAGGAGAGGAGAGCAGGTAGTCGGCATTACTCAGAGGGGACATGTACAGTGTGCCCTGATGATCAATGTAGCCCCATCAGTGCCACCTGTCAGTGTCCATCAATGCCACCTGTCAGTGTCCATCAATGCCACCTGCCAGTGCCCATCAGTGCCACATCAATGCCACATATCAGTGCCTACCAGAGCACATCAATGCCACATATCAGTGCCCATCTGAGCTGCCTTTCAGTGCCACCTATCAGTGCCAGTCAGTGCCACCTATCAATGCCAGTCAGTGCCGCCTATCAATGCCAGTCAGTGCCACCTATCAATGCCAGTCAGTGCCGCCTATCAATGCTGCCAATCAGTGCTGCCTATCAGTGCCAGTCAGTGCCGCCTATCAATGCTGCCAATCAGTGCCGCCTATCAGTACCAGTCAGTGCCACCTATCAGTGTCACCTATCAGTGCCACCTATCAGTGACATATATGAGTGATGCCTTTATGAGTGTCCAACAGTGATGCCTGTCAATGCCCATCAGTGCCACCTACCAGTGCCTCCTCATCAGTGCCACCTATCAGTGCCCATCAGTGCAGTCTATCAGTGCCCATCACTGTAACCTCATTAGCGCACATCAGTGAAAGAGAAAAATCACTTATTTACAAAATTGTATAACAGAAACTAAGAAAAAACTAGTTTTTTTCAAAATTTTCAGTTGTTTTTGGTGTGTTTAGCAAAAAATAAAAAACCCTGAGGTGATTAAATAGCACCAGAAGAAAGCTCTATCTGTCTCAAAAAAATGATAAAAATTTCATTTGGGTACATTGTTGCATGACTGCACAATTGTCATTCAAAGTGCGACAGTGCTAAAAGCTGATGGAAAATTGGCCTTGCAAGAAGGGGGTATAAGTGCCCGGTAGGCAAGTGGTTAATAGCAAAAAGTCAAAAATATAGTTTTTTTTTCTCAAAACTGATGGTCTTTTTTTTTAGCGTAAAAAATAAAAAAAACGCAGAAAGCTCAATTTGTGGGGAAAAAAAGGGATGTCAATTTCATTTGGGTGCAGCGTTACATGATCGCGCAATTGTCAGTTAAAGTAATGCACTGCTGTAACGCAAAAAATCGCCTGGTCAGGAAGGGGCTAAATCCTCAGGAGGGCAAGTGGTTAAAGAAAAAAAACATAAACAAATAAAAGGCAGCAAATAAAAAAGGGGAAACAGCAGAAGCAGAAGCTGTTACTGACACACACATAAAAGAGTCCTAAAAGGACTGTTGGATCTTAAGAAAGCACAATGAATGGAAGTGGACTTACAATCCACTCTGCTTAAACAAACAAACTCCAATTCAGTGCAAAGTATCAATGGCAATATACAGCACTGAATATAGCCCTTTATACTGTATAGCACTGTATATTTATAGTAGGATACTACAATGGCAATTATCTCTTCCTACAATACTGTCAGCCTTCCCTCACACTAAATTACCACAAACTGACAAAAGGGGGATGTCAGCCTTGTTTAGTATGTGGGCTGCAACTTTGTGCAGAACTATTATCAGCCAAAGGTCAGGTGGAAAACTTTTGATGCTAACTATTTGCATTACATTATGGGAAATTCTGTAGAGCATTTCCCAGCAACATCCAAAATAGTTCAGATTTTGTCTGAACAGCCAAAATTCAGTCTGAACTTAGGTTCGGAGCATACCTTTAGATCCCTATTGCTTAGTGACTCTTTCTTTTCCTGGTAAGGATTATCACCAGCCTTTAATTGTTACTCTTGCTTATATGGGGCTAAAAGTTTATAATGAAAGTATACATTTTTCATTACCTTTTACAATGAAAAGCTAGAAATCTAATTTATTTGAATAATTACAAAAGTGTAGCAGAAACCCTTATAATGAAGGTTGGCCGATTCTTTATTTCTTGCAAGACATTCCCAAAGTTTTGGTTGAAATGGGTCATTACTTTCCTAATATGCTCAATGTTGGACTGAATTTTGAGCAGTTTTTAGGATGCATACTGTTTTCTTCCAGATAATTTGCCGGATTAAAATTAGCAGTGTGAAAAGCTGTAGAGAAATATAAATGCCTGCCAAATCAAAGAAATAATCAGATTTTTATGAATATTTAATATCATAGTCATGGCAAATAAGGCAAGTAATTAGTACTTACCATAAATTTGCAAAGTATTATTTTATGTAAATGATACATTTTACTTGTTTGAGATGAATAATTCATTGCATTATAGGGAGATGACACAAACCAGTAAACATGTAGATATATCTGTAATTTGTTTCTTTACATTATACAGATAGTTGTATTTATTTGTTTTATACATGTATAGCTACACAGTTATATTGCTATTCCCCAAATGTAATTGTTAGCAGTATTCCCAGCTCCAGCCAAATAACTTTTTTCAGTTTTGAGTTTGGTGGAAAAGGTTAGAAAATCTGTCAGGTTTTAAATACTAGCTGAGTCCTCATTCTTGTTTTTTCACAAAGCTTTCTAGAAAGGGTGTATAACAGTGTCCAGAATCTTCCTCATGAGAGCATAGGCAGCGGTAATCCCCATTTTAGAGATTCAAAGCCATCTTCATTTCACTAGAAAAAATTGTACTTATTGTTGTTGCATCCAGGTTAGGTGTATTCTCCTTACTTTCTGCTCTTTCTGACAGCAGTCAAATAAAGTGTGGATTTTTTGTGCTGTTCTGCAAATACACAGGAAGCAAGAGGCAATCTCCCAAATGGGGACAAAAAACTGACAAATGTTCTTACCTTTCACAAACATTATAAAGGAACATCGTCTCTCTCTATATATTACATTATTGTAAATTTTATGAAGAAAAAATCATATGAGGGGGCTTATGTTTGCCCTGTCAATAATCAAAACTGCTTTATGAGTAAACTTGAATCAATACAGTTTACATTGTTATCTTTACTAAGCAAATGGTTTAAACAAGCAAGAGTCCTTGATGAAGAAAGAATTTGAACCTCCAGGATAATGCCAAAGAAGGAAAGGATTTCAATCACTGAGATGAGATTAGAGGTGTGCTTTGAAGGTATTCTGTCCTATAAAAAGCAATAGCTGCTTGTTGCTAGTGTCTGAGTTTCTGATGAAAGGGGTGTTTGGGTAACCCATGCTCTGATCAAAAGAAATTTTAAAAGACCTTAGTAGAAGAATTGCAGAGGTGCATTAAGTTATGAAAAGCTATAAAATCACTTCTAAACACTTGGGTTTACATTAGCCCACAATAGGACAAATTGGTAACAATAAAGGATATACCCTTCTGCAAAGAACAGGACAAAAGTGCAGAGGCCAGTACAGAAGGAATAAGAACATTGAGGTAACAACAAAGGCCCAGCAGGATTCTAGATATAGCTGCATAGGTCACTACTGAACACATTATTGTGCTATTGGGCCAATGTACTGTGGGAAATGAGTTGAACTCTTTGGCAGAAGCAAACTATGATCAAATGAAAAAAAAAATTGCACTCTAAACACAGAAAACATTAATCACAATCATGGTGGAGAATGTTACAGTCAGGGCTGCTATGTTTCTACATAATCTTTAAAATCTGTTATTACAGAAATACAAATTTGCAAAATGCTATTTTTTAAAAAACAATTTTATTGGATTTTCTGCAAATTCATAACAGTTAGCAGCAGCCAATCACCAGGCATGAGCACATTAAAGAAGGAATTGGCATCATCAAGCCTGTGGGCACCATCCAAAACTGAAATTACATACTTAAAGCTAAACTCCAGGTTCACTATGAATTAAATAGTTTTATCGGAACAAATGGTCCAAACAAATTATTTCCTTTACTAACAGTTGCACCCGCTCTCAGCACTGTACAAACTGTATGTAGCATCAGTTAAATACAATATCTACTTGCAGACTAGTGACGTACCAGTCACTGTCCATAGAGCTGATTAGAGACTGGAACAGCACCGAACATCTCTATAGTCTAAGAAACCGGAGTGATGACCATTTCATCACTTACGGTTTTGCAGTTGTAAGAAAACCCTTAGTGTTTTGAAAAAAGCATCAGATCATGCCGATCTTGGTATGATCTGCAGCTTTTAAAGGCAGAGGAGAGATCTAACATATTTCAACAGTCTAGAACAGGGGTCTGCAACCTTTAAGACATAAAGAGCCACTTGGACCCGTTTCCGAGAGGGAAAAAAAGACTGGGAGCCGCAAAACCATTGCAACATTTAAAACAAATCCGACACTGCATATATTGCCAAAAGCGCTCTGGTCATGAAGGGGGTTTAAGGGCCCAGTAAGCAAAGGGTTAATCAGGGCCACAGTGTATCATCATAATCACAATCATAGCCTTAGGTCAGTGGTGGGCAACCTTTTTTTTCAACTGAGCCAAATCTCGACAAAACCACGATTAAAATTTATTTTGAGAGCCACATTTTTAAAACTGAAAATACATCCCCCATATAGTAATTCATCCCCCATAGTAATTCATCCCCCATATAGTAATTCATCCCCCCTATAGTAATTCATTCCCATATTGTGTCAATTCACTTACCTGTACTCCGCGCGTTCCTCTCGCCGTGTTCCCGCGCAGTTCTGGTCTTCAGGGCGGACTGTGAGAGGAGAGGAGTTCGTCACGCTGCCCCGCCTACATCCTGACAGCCAATGTTTGCCACGCTCCGCGGGCCGGATTATAAGGTCCGCCGGGCCGTAGTTTGCCCATTGCTAGGCTAGCTGCAGAGTCCTGACTTTTGGGGCGGCCGCCCGAGAGGAGGGAGGGGAGCGGGCGCCCGGCACACAGAAGAGCTGCATTAACCTCCCTGGCGGTATGATTCCTTCCGATTTTTTGTGCTGAAAGCGGTACCATTTTTTCGCATGGAAATAGTTTTTTATTGTAGGCTGTAATTTTTAGGAAAATTTCCCCACCAATCATCACTCAATTCTGCAAGTGGTTCTGATTTACTATCGCTGTTCTCTAGCCGGTCTAAAACCGCTTTTGACCTAAAGGGACACTTTTTGGACGCCATGGACTTTTCTAAGTTTCCAGGCAGAAAGAACAGACAAAATGCAGGCAGGGCGCCGGACAAAGCACTCGGGACAATATGTATGTGAAATGGGATGAAAACAGCAATGTTTTACTATTGAAAATTGAAAAAAAAAAAAAAGACATTTTTTAAATTTTTTAAATTTCCCGCCGCCGGCGGCGCCCGTACGTCCCGACGTCACGGGGACCGGAACACAGAAGCCGGATGCCGGCATCGGCCGGAGGAGATGGCCGGGGACGCTGCAGGGGACACATCGCGGGAACGAAGGACAAGGTAAGTGCTGCAGGGACCCCCAGAGCAACGCCGCATGGTAAGCCTGAGTGTAGCTCGTGGTATAGAAATTCTACCACGAGCTACACTCGGGAAAACCGCCAGGGAGGTTAAAAGAGCCGCGGCTTGCCGACCACTGAGCTACGGCAACCCTATTGCCTGTCACCTGGTGGGCAGTGTGCTCCGGAGTCGCAGCAAAGGTGAAAAAGAGCCGCATGCGGCTCTGGAGCCGCGGGTTGCCGACACCCGGTCTAGAATAATAATGCGAGAC